TATATATATATATATATATATATATATATATATATACACACACACACGTTTATTACAACGAGTAGCAAATTCAAAAATATTTATAGTAAATCTTAAAATATATACGTGGGGTTTTATAGAACAATTTAGATGGTTAAAGATACATTAGTTAAATTCACACACACAAAAAAAAAAAAAAAAAAAAAAAAAAAAAAAAAAAAGAAAGATATAGAAGAAGTTAACTATTGGGGATGCTATTTAATTTGAGGTTAAAGTTAATAGAATTATGATGTATTGTTTGTTTAAAGTTATTACATATGCTAACCATTGAAGATGCTTTAGCCTCTAAGGAAACAACAATGCCAACCACTAGAAACAATCAACTCCTTCTTTCATTAATGAATTTTGAAAGGAAAAGAAGCAAACAACGCAAAAATAAGAATTTGAATGTTTTAAATTTAAATTTAAAATGAATGAAATCTTAGTTAGCTTTCTAATACAAATAATTTTCGATAATGATTCTCCTTAACATGGTGCCGAAAGATCATGTTAGAACCTAGAATTTCGACTGAATTTGATCAATGATGTTCACATCCACTTGAAAAGCCTTTGCCAAAAGATCATCTGGAATATCAGGTTTTGCTCCAAACACAGCATTTCCAACTGTATTAACACCTGGGTTTTGGCTACTTAGACCTGCAATCCCAATAGCATTGCTACTTCCAACATTCCTTTGAAAGTGAACAAGACCTTGTGGGAAAACAAAAACATCACCCTTCTGAAGTACTTTGGTGATTAAACGGTTTTCAGGATTGGATGTGATGAACCCAACTTGGATGGTTCCTTCAAGAATAGTCAAGATTTCAGTAGCCCGGGGATGGGTGTGAGGGGGATTAACACCCCATGGAGCCAAGTCTATACGAGCCATTGAGATGCCAAGAGTGTTAAGACCTGGTAGTTGGGCTACAGTCACTAGAGTCCCTTTAGATCCCATGGAATTTGAGGTGTTTCCCATTAAGTGTAGTCCACTAAAGAAGAAATCGTTCGCCTGTACAAGCTTCGGATCTTTGCAAGCGAAACCATTCACTAGCACTATAAATATAGAGAGTAAGTTACAAACTTGGTCCCTTTGCTTTACTCAAAATCACAAGTTTGGTCCCATTTTCAATTCATTACGGATTTAGTCCACGTTCTTTAATCAAGATCGCAATCTTCCAATGTTATTTCCTTTAAGACTTGCATTTTATTTCCAGAAGAACTAAATTCACAACGAAAGCAAACATCAAGAAGATTTTAAAATTTTGGACCATATATAGGGTTTTCAGTAAATCACAAGGATCACATCTGTAACCTACTCAAAAATAGTGAAAGTACGATGTTACAACAACGACATAAATGAATGAAGTTCATTGGCAATTCTTGCCTTTTTCCTTTTTTTAAACTGTAAGTTGAAAATCTTTGCATGCTTTCTAACCTTTTGTTTGCTACAAATTAAAACGAATTGTAGTATTACTAACCTGGGCCATTAAAGTCTGCAACACAAAAATCTTGAAGAGGGCTGCTGTCGGATGCAAATGCAATAGAACAAGTTATCATGATAAGCCCTAGAAAGAGAATTTGAGAAGCCATTTTCAGGTGGTTGTTATATGAGTCTGATCTTGATGGCTTTTATAGCATGATAGTGGGAATAGTTTTGCCGACCCACCACCAAAGCACCAACAAAGTTTGATATCATAAATAATCAAATATAACATTGTTTATACGTAAATAACTATGTACATGATTCCGAGTGGATTTGGTCAAAGAAACTGCAATTCTTTGTAAAATATCTAGATTGTTTGACTTTTTCTCATTGGGTTGTTTTTAATGGAGAATTGTCTCAAGGGCTTCGGTGAGACGTGAAAAACAAAGTTGGTCACTAGAAAGGTAACGCATTTGTAAATACTTAGTTGCAAAAGGAAAGTTTTACTTTTAAATCGGTTAATGAATTAAGTATAAGGGCATCCACATAATGGATTGCTACATAGCATTTAATTTTCATGTAAATTTGTTATTTAACTAGATGTAGCTTCTCACACGAGCTCTTTAAAATTTGTGTATGTGCAATATATAAAATATAATTTACAAGTATGATTATGTTTAATTATACATAAGAGTACATCTCTAGCAATGTGTAATAAATATGAAAAAACAATTTATTATATGTTCTTACAATTTACATGCATGAAAACAAATATATACAAAAAAAAAATTTGTAAAAACAGAAAAAATATGTAAGAAGGTAATTTTATAAAAAAAAGTAACAATTTTTTAAAGTAAATTAGTAAAAAGAAAGTTGTAAAAAATGGGGGAAAAAAACTATTAAAAATAAATCTTAAACTAAGTCTCGAAAAACATCTAAAACAAAGTGGAAAATAAAAAGTCGGGGAAAGTTGGTTAAAATGATTTGGAACAAATTCATAAAAGAATCCTAAAATTTAGGCCAATATTGCAGAATGGGAAATGTTAAAAGGGGTGGATTTAAAAAATGGAGAGAATTTGTAGAAAAAGATTGGATCGAATTTGATTAAGCATTAACGGTTCGTTTAGGTATGGCAAACTTGCTTCTGGGTCCGGCAGGTAGGCGAGTCATTAGGATCCCGCTTTGTGACTCGTGTACTAATAAAAGGGTAGGTGAGATACCCGAACTAAACTATAAGTATCAACATAAATAATAAAGTTTAGTTTGTTCATATATTCGTTTGTTTAAGTTAATCAAACAAACAAACGAATAAAAACCGTTAAATAAATTATTTTCTTTTGTTAATATTCGTTAATTTAACAAATTATCTTGAATATGAATAAACTTTAACAAACGAACATATATGAAATTAAATGAACAACATAAATTATAAAATGTTCTACAAAATCCTAGTATAGCTATTTATTATTTGTAATGTTCTAGCTTCTTACTATTATTTAATGCTGTCATGCTAAAAAAAACGTTTATGAACATAAATGAAAAAAAATAAGATCACTGTTAATGTTGGTTTAATTAACTAAAAGAACAAGAATTTGTATTCTTGCTCGTTGGTTTATTAAAATATATAAACGTAAATGAACTTATCGCTAAATGTTTGGTTCATGTTTAGAGTCATACTTTCATATAAAACAAGCGAACAAGCGGCTTATTGATTGAGACGAACATATCTTCCTAATAAAACCACGAGAGACAACTTATAAAGATTATTGGGAATTATTAAAAAATAAATGAAGTTACTATTCATCTTTCGCAACTTGTTATTATTGGAATTGTTTTGGACAACCATTTACATAAAATTATTAAGTGCCCCTTATTTTTTTCCATCCAACATTTTAATGGGTATTCTACTTCAAATACATTATGTCACTTTGACATATCATTATTCATTGTATGTCAATCTGAATTTCTATCTCACTCTATCATGTATTGCGAGGGTAGTATTTAACTATATAAAGTTTAAGGAATTTTAACATTAACATTTCAATTATAATATAATATTTGATTTAATTTTTTCAATTAATTGAACTCTATAAAATTTATAGTTTTTTTAAGTGTTTAGGTCATTTTTGATCACTTAACTTTTGGTTTTGTGCTCATTTGGTCACTTAACTCTTTTTAAGTTTTAAAAGGTCATTAAACTTTTGATTTTGTGTTCATTTAGTCACTTAACTTTTGGTTTGGTCATATTTAATCACTTAACTTTTAGATTTGTCCTCATTTAATCACTTAACTTTTAAAATTGTGCTCATTTAGTCACTAAACTTTTAAAACAATTTAAAAGTTTAGTGACTAAATGAGCACAATTTTAAAAGTTAGGTGACTAAATGTGACCAAACCAAAAGTTAAGTGACTAAATGAGTACAAAACCAAAAGTTTGATGACCTTTTAAAACATAAAAAGAATTAAGTGACCAAATGAGCACAAAACCAAAAGTTAGATGACCAAAAATGACCTAAACCCTTTTTTTAAATGTATATTACATTGTTTTAATCATCTTCCAATTCAATAGTTCGTCGAGCATTCAAATCCATTTTGTGCCAACTTGGCATACCACTACCGTTAAGTTTTTCCCATGATGTGAATCTAGTGGTTGAGATATGAAATTCATTGTGATGGTTCATAATTTAAATAATGACATCACCAAAATATTAATAGGGGTAAATGGTATAAAAAACAATTTTTTTATACATAAACTCGATTTTGACACCGTGTTTTTTTTGTGTCAATTTTGACATTGTGTTTTCTAATTTGTTACAATTCTGACCACTTGACCGGTTAACCAGGTTACATGATGACGTGTCAGTTTTGATGATGTGGCATGCTGACATGATATGTTGACGTGTCAAAATTAATTTTTTTTCTCACAAAAAACACTAAGTTTTCAATTTTTTTTTTGATTTTGACACTAAGTTTAATTTTTCCTTTCAACTTTGACACTATGTTTTTTTTGTTCCAAATTGCATATCATTTTTTTCAATTTTGTTCAATGTTGACAATTTTTTATTTAAAATCGTATAAAAAAATTTTTAATACATTTAACCTATATAAATATGTTTTTTTTTCATTTAAAAATCATAGTTTTATATATATATATATATATATATATATATGTTACACTCAAACCATATTTTTATGTATAAATATGTAGAGAAAATTACACGGTCGGTCCCTATGGTTTGCTCTTACTTGCACGCTTCGTCCCTGGAAAGAATTTTTAACTCGGACAATCCCTATAACTTTATTTCGTTACCCTCCTAGTCCCTTAGTTAACTTTCCGTTTTATTTGGGGTTAGGAACTACTCACGTGTGTGGCACGCTGGGGGCATTTTTGTCCTTTCAACCCTACAATATATTAGCGCCATTTAGAAGACGGATGGTTTTACGATTCCGATCATCGTCAAACCAAAACACACACTTGTCAGACGAATTCCCTTTCTTCTCTCAAACAAAAACCCTAGTCGCTAGCTAAAACTTTGTATGCTTTTCCAAATAATCAACAATGCCGGTTTGGAATTTAAGTGAAGCACGAGGACGGATGATCAGTGAAGCAGAAGTTCGTCTTCAATATGGTAAGTCCGCCTAGTCCCTAATCTCATTTTTATTTGCGTTTGCTTCGTGAAATCCTACAACCCTAATCAAATGTTAATCAAATTTTTTGGGGCATTTCCTTAATAGGTGATCATCCGACCATGTTTTGCATGCTATTAAACCATGGTGGAAAGTTTACTGATTTTCCTGGAAGGAAGTATGTAAACGGAAAGAGACATTACGTTGAGTTAATAGACATCGAGACTTTTTGTGTTCACGATATTGATGACATGATGGTGAAACTTGGGTATATCGATGAAAATCTACATGTGGAGATGTACTATCATTTTCGAAGGCGACTGTGCGATTTGGATTCTGGCTTGTTTTCTTTAGCTTCAGATGATGATGTAAGGCATTTAGCAAAATATGTTGGCCAGCATAAGCTAATAGAGGTGTATACATAGCACGGGCAAACGAAATTACACACATACTCGATGTCACCAAACCCATCTAAGGTACGTATAGTTGAGATTGATTGTACCCCAAAAAGATTATTATTGGAATGGCATGATACACAAGTTGAGCCTATTGATGTGTTGACATTTGAGCCTAATAGAATCAACCCTCCTGTTTCACCTACTAGAAATGAGCCTTCAATTGACAAGGTGGACATGGTAAGTGATAATGCAAACATCATGGAAACTGAAATTGAACATAGTAGTGATGATAATAGCAGTGGTGATGAGATCAACAATGGTGATGATAGTGAGAGTCAAGATGGTGACTTTCTTGTGGACGAAGACAATATCATTGATGATGTTGAAGTTGACATGAGAGAATTCAACTTGAATGTTGACCCAGATGTTGAGTGGATTGGAGGTGCTTCTAAAAGAAAGAATCATGTAGTTACAGAAGATGGGAATGAAGCAGACCTTGAAGTTATAGATATGGAACTTTTCTTGTCCGACTCTTCATCGGATGATGGGATAGAAGGAGAAAGAAACAAAAAGATTAAAGCTATTAGAAGGGCGCATGAGAACGAAAATGCTCAAGTCAGTGAGCCTTTCTATTTATATCAGAAATTTAATTCGTCAAAGGAGTTTAAAGATAGGGTTAACCAACATGCAATAGATACAAGAAGGGAGTTAGATTTTGAGAAGAATGATAAAAACAGAGTAAGGGTTGTATGCAGGGGAACCATAACAAGCCTAGGTGGTGGGAAATAACTGGAATGCCATGCAAACATGTTGTATCTGCAATCTGAAACATGAGGAGAAATAATGGTGCAATTGGTATTCGAGAAACCTTTGTTCATGAATGTTATTGGCTATCAACCTGGAGGAACATGTACTCTTGCAAAGTGGATCCGATAAATGGTAGAAGAATGTGGATTAAGTCACCTTGTCCAACTACTTTGTTGCCTCCAAAACACCGTGTCCCAATAGGAAGACCAAAAAAGAAATGAAGGAAGTCAGCTACAGAAAAAGAGGATATGATCAAAGGGAATACAGTTTCTGGAGCACAAAAAACTGTTACATGTACCAAATGTAACAACAAAGGACACAATGCCAGGACTTGCAAAGGGCAGTTACCAACTGTTGGGAAGAAGGGAAAAAAGAACAATGAGAAAGGAAAAGAGAAGGAGAAAGGAAAAGAGAAGGATAATGGAAAAGAGAATGAGAAAGGAAAACAAAAGAAGAAAGGAAAAGAGAAGGATCCATTGTAAACTCTTTTATCATGTGATGCTCTTATTTTGGTTAAACTATTATGTAATGTGATGTTTGTATTGTGGTTAAACTATTATTTCATGTGATGTTTGTATTTTGATTAAACTGTATTGTGTTTAGTATCACCAAAACAATTGCGGTTGGTACTTAGACATTTGTTTTTGGTTAAACTCTTATGTAATGCTTTGGTTTTAATGTTATCTAATGGATCAATTATTGGTATGTTTTTGGTCATTTCATTTGGCATGTTTTTGGACATTTCATTTGGAATGTGTTTGGTCATTTCATTTAATGTTATATAATGGATTATTTGGCATGTTTTTTGGTCATTTCATTTGGCATGTTTTTGGTCATATGTTAAATGAAAAATACCAAAAGATTACAGTTGCATTGCATCTATTAATTGTACCAATAGATACCCTTTCTCTCCCAATTCCAGCAATACAAGATGGTAATAATCCATTGTAATCTTTTATAAGCCAACAAAGTGCAACTATTAATTGTACCAAAATATACCATTTCATTAAAATGCAGCAATACAAACATGCTAATATTACCCATTCATTAGATTATCTTCAACCAAAAACCACTACTGAAATACCTAATACTACAACTTGTAAACAATTGTCCTAAAAAACAAAATCCAACTGACAATTAACAACATTTTAAGGTTCCGATTTTGGATTTCAAGTTCTTCATTCTAGATTTCAAGGTCACGATTTTGGATTTGAAGTTCTTCATTATGGATTTTAAGCTCAAGATTTTGGCTTTCAGCCTCATACGTATGATTTTCTTCATCTACCCACAAAATAAATCCACTTCTTGGTCCCTGAAGTTTTCAATACCCTCGATTAGCACAAACTAGGGTTCATCCTAGAAATTACCAAAAAATTGATAACTCAATACCTGTAAAGGGCATGCATAAAAAGGCCTACCAGGATTTCTCTTTATTCCTGAAGTTCGTATGATCCCTACAGCTCCACACTTTCATTTTACCATAATCAATTTTGTGGATCTTCAATCTTCACGAGCAAAAGAAATGGAGTAGAAGAGGAGAACTGGAAGCACGGATTGAGAAAAGAAGGAAGGAGAAGTAGTTTTAAGTCCGTTGTAGGGTTGAAAGGACAAAAATGCCCCCAGCATGCCACTCACGTGAGTAGTTCCTAACCCCAAATAAGACAGAAAGTTAACTAAGGGACTAGGAGGGTAACGAAATAAAGTTATAGGGATTGTCCGAGTTAAAAATTCTTTCCAATAACGAAGCGTGCAAGTAAGAGCAAACCATAGGGACCAACCGTGTAATTTTCTCTTTTCAAAAAGAAGTTTGGAATTTTATGAACCTAAATAGGGACTAGGGAGAGAATTGGAAATCACAAATGTTCTAGTTGAGCTTTTATTTGAAAAAGAGAATACATTTATGATAAATCATGACGCAATTATATTTGTTTATGCGACTTTCTTTAAGTCGACCTGTCATCTTAAAAAATATATATATATAAAATAAAAATAAAATAAAAAAGTGGACTCAAATGGGATACTAAGCAAATGAATTTGTTAAATATCTTAAGAGAGCAGTTATATTTGTTAAACAAAACCGAAAATTCAAAAACCGATAAAATTGAAATCGAGAAACCGTAACCAAACTCAAACCATCGGGTTTGTGTTTAAATTTTTAATAACCGAAAAATGGATTTTGGGTTCGGTTTCAGTACCTCAAATTGACCCAACCCGTTGGGTTTGAAACCAACCCAATCCGAGATTATTACATTTTTCAAAAATATGTTATAATTTAACTTTCTATGTCAAATGTAATATTTGTTAAATACAAAATAAGGTGTATTTTGGTACTAAATTATACCAAATATATGGCTTGTGTTGCTAAGTGAAACCGAGATTCTTACATGATTGTTTACTATTTGTTTTGTTTCTAAAAACTTGTTAAACTTGAATGTTGTAAACTTTTAGTCACATACTTTTGATTATGTGTTGGTGCTGAAATTAGTTTTATTTAGTTTTTTTAATCTAGGTTGCTAAATGTGTTTTATTTTTTAAGTTATAAAGATTTGTTGAAAACTGGGTTACAACCCAAAACCCATCAACTCACGGGTTGAACCCAAAAACAAATGAAACCAACCCAAGAACACAAAACTGAAACCGATCAAAAATCGAACTCGACAAGTTCTAAAATCTAGAAACCAAAATATATAGGTTTGGTTCGGTTTTACCACAAAACCTACTCAACCCGACCCATGATCATCCCTAATATTTATTTAATATCTATTTATGAAACAAGATTTTAAAGCAATAACAATAGTTTTTTTGGTCCCTACTTACACTTCAACAATTATTATTATTATTATTATTATTATTATTATTATTATTATTATACTATAGATTAAATTTATCCACCCTTAGCTACAGTAAAGTGGCTAAGGAATGGTAAAAATAGTCCTTTAACTATAAGTGAATAGACACTTGCTTTTTTCTGCACTTCACTGCCATATGTTTAGGTATTTGCATATGTTGTCTTTTTTTTTCATATTTGTCCTTCATTTTTTTCTTTTCCACCTTCAGTATTTGTTTATCTTTATTTTGTTTGTGGAATGAATTGCAGTTCATCGGCATAACCGATAGATGCTACGTGTTCGTCACCGCCTCTATCGGCCAATATCTATCTTCCATTTGTTCCTCCACCTCTTCCCCGCTTCGATCTCTTCTCCACTTTCTTTCTTCTCGATGTCTCCTCCACCGACTCACTTTCCCTAAAAGCTTTCTCTCCCTCTCAGATTAATCACCTTCTTCTTTTGCTTATCTAACAATCGACTCCGAGGAATAACAGAAAGGGAACGATGATGACTGTGTTCAACACCGCCTCACCCACTACTCCCCGACTCTACTTCCTTTGTCGTTCCTTTTCGACTGTTAAAACCCTAATTTTCATATGGGTTTTATGGATTGGATTTGATAAAAGTTCTTCTAATCGCCTCTCCTCCTCCGATTGTGCTGCTACTGTAGCTTGGTTTACTTACTTCCACCCTGGTTAGTATTCGGCCCTTACATCGATCCTGTGATTCCGATTAAGACCGAAGAACTTGAGGAAAGTGATTCTGATTTTCATTCAGGTAAATCCTCATTCGGGTTCTCAGATAGTAAATTTCGTGGTTTATTTCTCTTTTCTATGATTATGGCTCCACAATTCCATTTCGATTGGTATTAAGCTGGTATTGCTTCACCTCCATTGTTATCCAATCCGTCTTCTATGTATGTGCTTCCGTTCAGCTTTATCTGAAAGAGAAACACCATTTTATCTTCCTCTAGAAGATTACGTTTCCGACTATTTCATTCCACTCAAATCCGCACATAAGCCACCAGTTTTCTCACCCCAACTATCCACTGTGACAAATTCTTGAACGATTGCCTGCACAGTGGCTGCAACATCCACCTCGATCACTCTTCTTCTAATTTTTCTATCTAGGGTTCGGTATTCTGCCAACATCTTCCTCTCGATAAGCTCTTTACCTTGCTTCTTTACCAAATCAAATATCCATTGGTTTAGTTTTTTTTTTAAGTGAAAAACACCAGAGGATTATTTCTTTGTTTTTTCTTTTTCGCGTGAAGGATTTCATCTGCTTATTTATTGGACCAAAGTCTAAGCCCTATCAATTCACACGATTGTTTGGATACTGATCAGGTTTGATGTAACGTCCCAAATATCACGACTAAAAATTTCTTTTTAAAACATTACTAAAACCATATTCATAAAAAACGTATCATAAATCATAACATAATTTCGTAGCATTAATTCGAAATACAAACTTATTATCAGAGTAAAACATCCCAGGATAGCTGACTATGGTGTGTGCACTGCAATCTTTCCGAGCTCCTCTTTTGAAAACTGAGTACCTGAAACCAAAAACTGAAAATGCAAGCACGAAGCTTAGTGAGCTCCCCCAAACTACCACATACCATACAATAATATATAAAGCACATACCGGGCCTTGCCCACTGCATCGAACCGATGTCCGGACTAACTGGGGCCTTGCCCCCTGCATCGGACCGAAGTCCAAAAACTGACTGGGACCTTGTCCCCTGCATCGGACCGAAGTACGGACTAACTGGGGCCTTGCCCCCTGTATCGGACCAAAGTCCGAAAACTTACTGGGACCTTGTCCCCTGCATCGGACCGAAGTCCGGACTAACTGGGGCCTTGCCCCTGCATCAGACCGAAGTCCGGAAACTGACTGAACATAGCATAGCATAACATATCAACTAGCATGAAAACATATACAGCATACTGCATCGGGCCGTAGCCCGGAACACATAACACATAACACATAAATCCTATCTGGGCCACGAAGGCATCAAACATACTAACTACTACATCGGACCGAAGTCTGGAAACTACTGCTAACTGAACGGGCCGGCATTGTGGCCTTAGACCCGTTCCTACTGGAAGGAAACTCACCTGAACTGCTGAATTCTGCTGGTAACCCTCGGACTGCTAACCAACCACCGTCTGAAACACTGCTCCTCTAACTCTCCGAGCTACCAATAACAAAGCGACACTTAGCTTGACAGTCCATAAAAAGTCAACCAACTCAACTCCGATCAAAGTCAGAGTCCTGGCCAAAGTCAACCTTCCATGTTGACCCTACTCGCCGAGTCAGTCTACTGACTTGCCGAGTTCACTGATTTCCGAGTTCTATCCTATCCAACTCACTGAGTCCCCACACAACTCACTAATCTGAGCCTTGACTCGAAGGGTTTGGGGTTTCGCGACTTGACTCGCCGATTCCAAGAACAGACTCGCCGAGTCCAAGGCAATCTTCAACAGACTCGTTGAGTTGTTCATCCAACTCATCGAGTTCGTCTCCATCTTCATACTACTCGCCGAGTCCACTCAAAGGACTCGCTGAGTCTATTCAGTCCTTAATCCATGTAGTGGCTTTTCGAGCCAAACAGGGCTTCCAACTCATAGATCCATACTTCTAAGGCCTATCCCTCACGTAAAGTGGCAAACTTTACGTGTATATCAAGAGATCTAGGCTTAAAACAATCCAAACTAGGGTTTAAGACAAAGAGGCTTCACTATCAACCCAAGAACAGATGCTTTATGACTTTCTAGGCCAAGATACACTCAGATCTGAAGTAGCAACTTCAGATCTGGGCTTCTAACTCGAAATAGTTCTTAAGCATGGCATAAAAGCCCCAAATCTCATAGCTAAGGTTGATCTATTAAACAAAAGAGGGAGGGTAACGATTTATTACCTTTAAATGCTCAAAAATGTTCCACCAACTCTGGATCCAAGGCCCCCTTCTTGCTCCACAATGACTATCTTCTCTCTCAAGCTCCAAAAAGCTTCACCAAGGGTCGATCTTGCTCCAAAACGATTATGGCGGCTAGGGTTTAGTGTTCTGTGTTAGAGAGGCAGTAAAGGAACCCTAGGGGAGAGAATGAGACGTTTAAATAAGCTCCAAGTCCCGGATTTAGGGTTTTCCTTGCTCAGACCAGACTCGCCGAGTCACCTTGGCCGACTCGCCGAGTCGGTCGCTTACACCTCGACCCGGATCCCGCTCGGACTCGTCGAGTCCCTCCTTGGACTCGTCGAGTCTCCCCTTAAAATCGGGGTTTTCTTTCTTTTCTTGGCTTTCCAAACTTTGGGTGTCACAACTCTCCCCCACTTAAACTAAACTTCGTCCTCGAAGTTTGCTACGATCCACCGACTGCGATCTGCCTCCAATACCCCACCGCTCATTCTAACACCAGCTGCCTACCTTCGCTGGCCTTCCGCTCAGTCATTCAGCCCAATGCCAATCCTTACAGATAATAATCTCGGGTCCATCCTGACCCTGAACATTCTGGAAACACAACTCACTCAACCGACAATCTTTCTGATACTCTCCAAATACTGCACTGACCCTTCTTTCCTTGCACGATTTCCTTCCCTTCCGAAGGCGATGCTCCATAACTACCTACGTCTTCCATCACTGTGAAGACCCTGTCTCCACCAAATCTATTACTCCCGCTACTCCCAGTACGGGTCATCGTCGCCAGTATCCACTGGGCATTCTTTCTACTACCATTTGGTGTCGCGTACCCCACGAACAACCGACTGAATCCTACCATACGATGCATACTCGCACTGGTACTGACTGAAAATTCTGTTATTCCAAATCTGGCTTCCGGATGAACTGAGACCACCCAGGTGCAACTAATAAGGCTGAACTTGCAGTCCGACACAAAATTAATACTGCCCAAAATAGTGGAACTATCTGAAACACTGAACTACCTGGAGCACTGAACTGCCTGAAACACTGAATTGCTTGAAACACTGAACTGCCTGAAACACTGAACTGCCTGAAACACTGGACTGCTTGCAACACTGAACTACCTGAAACACTGAACTGCCTGAAACATTGGACTGCCTGCAACACTGAACTTCCTGAAACACTGAACTGCCTGAAACACTGGACTGCCTGCAACACTGAACTGCCCAAACGAAACCTTTCTTTGGAACTAGTTTCCACTAATCATCCTGTTACTGTGGTCCTAACGACCTCCCGATCCAACCGACCGGGTCCAAACGTCAAGAAATCCAAGACTATAATGATGGCTCCCAGGCTAATGGTAGCCCTTAACATACATGAATCCCAATGGTTCACTGCTTCCCTGATCTCATGACTGTGTTGACGATCCATCTGTCGCATTGCTGGCTCAACCATGACTAAACTCTGGAAAATTCGAAATCCAACCCGTGGATTTCTATATGCTTGCTGCTGCACACGAATTGGTGGGTACTACTGCTTCCCCCCCCCCCCTTGCGTCCAGATAACGCGCTCATGCTGTCTACTAACCTGGCGAATGCTACGGCTACACCCGTAGACCTACAACTCCCTAATACTGTCTGGCTGCTAGTGAACGCTACGGCTACCCCCACAGACTTACAACACTACTACTACTATCTGACTGCTAGTGAACGCTATGGCTACCCCCGCAGACTTACAACACTACTATTACTATCTGACTGCTAGTGAACGCTAAGGCTACCCCCGTAGACTTACAACACTACTACTACTATCTTACTGCTTACCAATCACTATTCCGGGGACTTCCTGACTATCCCTAGTTCTGCTAGCAATTCCTCATCCTGACTTCTCAACATCAGTCCCCAATCATCGGATGCTACATCAACCTCGACATCTTATATCCTTGATGAAATTAGCGTTCCGCCGAGGAATTCTTCAACTTGGTTCCCAAACCAACCGTCCACTAATCCATAAACATGAAACTAACATTGGGAAGTTTCCAAACTTCCAACTCTTGAATCCACACAACCCTACATGCTGTCTCTACCAGTAACTACTAACACGGAAACATCTCTTGCTAACCATTCTCAAGATCCTCCTTCCGACTCAATAGAGTCCTATCGGCGGTCCTCCAACCTGGATTCCCAATCAGCTACTAACCATATCGATTACATGAACTAACTGCTGGGAAGTTCCCCAAACTCCCAATTCTGAACTCCTTGATCCACCCATTGCTATGCTACTATCCTTTCTTTTCAAGGATTGCGTACTCATTCCGGGTCAGCGTGTTCTTGCCCTCGCATACTCGGAGGGTTCTCCCCCACTTGGATCCGGCTAACTCCTTACTGCTCACTGGTCAAAAGGATTCCCCAACCTTCCTTCCACCAAGGGCGATCTGCTGCCCGCCAACATTTATCTCTGTCGACACTCCATCTGACCTTTACCAGATCCGAACCACTCTTGCTATCTAACCGAGCACCCTTC